CCCTCCCCACCTAAGCCTTTTTTTTTTTTTTTTTTTTTTTTTTTGCTTGTTCTCCAAGAATTGTCTAAAGAGCAGGGACTCTTTTTCAGGAAGCTTAGCGTCCCTCTAATGTCACTTTGCATTAGGACAGAGCACCCTGTCCCTGGAGCTCTGCTTGGCATAGACAAAGCTGGGCAGTGTAGGCCTCTAGAGAGGAGTGAGGCCTAGTGAAACGCTCCCTCAGGGCAGAAGGAAGCAAGGCTGGCGTGGCCCAGAGCTTGATCAGGCTGTGGGGAGCCTGGAGTTGGTTTCAGCTCAGGCCAGCAGGGGGCACCCCAGGGCAGCACACTCAAGGAGAAGGGCAGTAGAAAGGACAGAAAACAGAGGTAGCTGTCCAGGAAATCAAAGTCCCCATCCCTCCTCTGACCATCATCGCCGTCATCCTCGGACATGATAGCCACACACTGCTCCCACACTGTGCGCACATCTGCACGGTAGCGCTCACAGGACCAGATGAAGGAGGGTAGGAGCAGTGTCTGTGCCATGGAGCACCACAGCACAGCCAGCACCATCCATGGCGGAGCTGAGTCGGACTTCAAGGAGAAGAAGCTCACGACCTGCCAGGGGGAAGGGAATGACTGGTCAGGTGTGAGAGCCCGACGTTCTCCAAGAATTGTCTAAAGAGCAGGGACTCTTTTTCAGGAAGCTTAGCGTCCCTCTAATGTCACTTTGCATTAGGACAGAGCACCCTGTCCCTGGAGCTCTGCTTGACATAGACAAAGCAAGAGATCAGGAAGGGAGGAGGGGTGAGTAAGGAGGGGCTGAATGAGGACAGTCAGGAAGTGCTGTAGACAAACCCTGGAGTCGGGGGTTCGAGTTGGGGCAGACAGAGACAGATATACACAGAGACAGAGAAAGAAAGTGGTGGTGGGGGTGGGCAGGGGGAGATTGAGACTTCCAGAAACTTAAGACTCAGGGAAACCCAGGAATGAGGCCTGGATAGAGTGTGGTAGGGTGAGCCTAGGGTTTCCACTCAGGAGGGCTCAAAGACTGTGATCGTCAAAGTGAGTTAGGGACTATCCTGCCTCAGGGCAGCTGGGCGTCAGGTTGAACATTGGAGGGGCAGGATGGAAGGTGGGGCTGGAGAATAGAAATAGAAATGAAGAATGGCGGATGGAGCTGGGAGATTGAGTAGTGGGAGCTTGGAGATGGATGATAGAGACGGAACCACAAACGTCAGGAGGAAAGAGCGAGGAAGAGAACACGATGGTGCTTCTGCATGGCTGACAGAAGTGGAGGGACCTGAATAGTAAGAACAGGTTGAGGGACCTCAGTCTCACCAAGATGGGCACCCCTGTGAGTGAGTCGTAGAGAAAGACGATAGCGCTGACCAGGTTGGTGACCTGCAAAGATGTCTTGGCAGATTCAGATCCATCCAACGAGGACCGGCGCTTGCCTCGAGTATCCTCCACCACAATGGCTGGCACCTCAAAAGCTGGCCGGGTACCCAAGCCCCCCAGCCCACCCACTTTGGCTCCCACACTGCCCCCAGCTTTCCGGGCCTGCTGAGCCCTCCGGGGCCGGGCCCACAGTGTCTGATAGAAAGTGATAGCCACACAGACCAACCCCATGACAATGCCCCCAAGAAGCAAGAGGCTGAAGCAAACACCAAAGCCGAGGCCAATCTTGGAGACTATGAACTGGCAGCCTCGGGCATAGTAGCGCTCGCCGTTGTTATGCCAGCCTATGGAGGGCAGTGTGGAAAGGATGAAGCTGACCATCCAGATGCCCACGACGGCGTGCAGTGCCTGCTTCTTGGCGTTGCTGAGGCGGTAGTTGACCGGCCATCGCACCATCCACATGCGATGGTAGGACAGCGAGGCCACTGTGAAGCAGGTGGCCAGGGCCAGCGTGTAGTAGGTGGACACAAAGACCTTGCAGATGCTCTCGTTCCAGTCATAGTCAGAGGAAGCCTGGCGCCGTAGCTGCACCACAGCAAAAGTGGTCAGGGGCACAGCCGCCATGAGTATGTGCGTGCCCGCCAGGAAGCAGAGCAGTAACTCCAGTGGCTTGTGCTTCTGCTGTTTGGCTGAAATGCTAAGGATGATCCAAGCATTGGCCAGCAGGGCCAGGAGCCCACAGGCCAGCCAGGACAATGCGTTTGAGCGGAGGGAGGCCTCTTCTGCCCCCAGCCCGCCCCGAGCCATCCTATCCTAGCCCCACCCCCACCCCCTTGAACTCCTGGGGGCGGGGGCTAGGTCTCACCCTGGAGCCCCGCTCACACACACCCCCATGATGCCCACAATTCTTGCCCTGTAGCCAGGCAAGATGACCCCAAGTCTTCCTTACTGCTCAGCATTGCATGACCGACCCAGCTAAGGCCCGGTGGGCAGGGCAGGGGAGAAGTCAGAGAATCAATAGGGGTGGTGGTCTTCAGCCTCCATATTGGGTGGGGCTTCTTCTTAATTATCCCTGTAATTGATGAGGGAAGCAAGCTTGAAGCTGGCTAGAGACCTCTGATGCCCACTCTCGGACTTCCAGGTCTCTTTCTCCAATGAGTCTTGACCAGTCAGTGCAGGGTGGAGCCCGGTCACCTGGACAAGCTGTGAGGGAAGGTGAGATGGAGGGAGCGAGCAACAATTAGGCCTGTGCTGTACTCTAGCTCACACGTACCCTTTCTCTAGGAACTATAGAAATGACTGATTGCTGAGGGTCACTGGGGTCATTCGGAGCGCTCTCCTGCCGTAAATCAGGTGCCTAGCTACCCACACAGATAAGACCTCCTATACTCACAGACTACACGGGAAAAGTCGCCCTGTCTCCATCCCTTTTAGCCCTTTCTCCCTGCTTTGGAATTCCAAAGTTCCTTCCTATAATAGCCTGTACCCAGAACTGCCCACCGTCTCCACGTCCCCAGATCTTCCTTCAGTTACCAAGGGGAGACGTGTGGTGTGGTGTGTTCCTTCTTGCGGGCTCACATTAAAGCAGAAGCCCTCTTACAAGCCGTCCTCCCAGACCCCACCGCTGTCTCTGTGCTGTGCCCACTTATCTAAGCCTGGATTTCCACCGTGTCAGCTGCTACCCAAGGAAAGGGGAGAAAGGAGGCTGGGACTGAAATGGGGGGTAGCTAGGGAACCTGAGGGCGGGGAAACCACTGACATCAGATGCATCCAGAAATGGAAAGAGGGGGAACCAGGGAGAAGGAGGAGAGTTTGGGCAGAAGAAAAAGAGGGGGAACGTGGTAGTATCTGAAAATAGAAGGGAAGGTTCAGAAACCCCTGGGGAGGAGATATTGGAGGGAGGGGAGTGGGAAGGACTGTGGAGGTAGGGACAGAGGAACAGAGAGCCTGAGAAGGAGCTGCCTGTCTTCACCAGGAGACCTTGGGTCTCCTCCTCTGGGCCAGAGCCTCAGTTTCCCTCTGATGGGAGTGAGGAGGAGGGTCTTGATCTTAGTGACACAGGTCAACGAGAGAGAGGAAGACACTAGGAAAGCAAGTCAACCGCTGAGCCGAGTAAAGGCTGTAAGGACCGGCATAATGGCTTCGGGGCACACGGGGTGGGGGTGAGTGGGCACAGCTGTGCTCCCTTCTATTTCCTGAGGAAGAACCTTAGGCCCCAGCTCTCCCCAAGAGGTCTCAGTCCAACCCCCACCTTTGTCTCCCCCCAGCCCAGGACATCCTAGTTGCCATGGCAATGGACAGCCAGGGGGAGGTGTAGGGAATTGTTGCCGATGCCCCCCACTGCCCTCCCCTACAGTCTTCGGACCCCTTCCCACCCACCCTTCACCCCCATACCCAGTTGGTGGGAGGGAAAGTCGGAGGGAAGGAGGGAGAGCCAGAGAGGGAGGGCAGAAGAAAGACGTGAAGGACAGAGAGAAGGAGATGAAGGGCAGAGAGAGAGAGAGACGGGAGGAGAGGAGGACTGCTGGGGGCTGCCTGGCCGACAGGGGTCCCTCGCCCTTCGCCTT